AACCATGCCGACGCGACCTTCCGCAACGGCGACGGGTGGTGGGGCAGCGACCGCAAGCCCGTCAAGTGGCTCGAATGTGCTCTCTAGTTGTGTTCATCGATTGATGGGGGCTGTTACGTTGTCGACTTATCGACTAATGCATTATTTGCTGTGTTTACCACGTCTTGCCTTTGCAAACTGTTTGGCGCTGACCGTCGAACCACGGTGACCACTCGACCTCCGTATTGCCGAGCGCTACATCGACGGTGTTTCGATGTAGAATGTCACTTTCACACATTTGCATGTTCTAACCATTCCCTTCGGCGTGGATAGGGATATATTCACTCAGAAAACGTTCTAACTCGGTGACTACACTATGACGTGCTCGTGCAAAGACGACGCGATTCGCTCGTACTGTGGCGTAGTAAGCTCTCAAGGTACTCAGCTCTTTCCTTGCCGCGCGAGGTTGACGTCGCCACGTACGGGCCCCAGCCAATGTATGTACACTAGCAAGGGGAAATCTTTATACAGTGCGGCACCTCCACAACTCAATAGAAATACTACACTACTTGAGCCGCCCACATTGGCATCGGTCGACTGGAGTACCACATTTGACATGATCACAATGTCACTCCTAGACGTCCTCCTTACGCAAGCAATATTAGTTTGATTTAATGGACGCGGCGCCCGTGCACGACCTTGGGTAGCGCTAGATCGAGCTCAAAGACTGCGTCCCATAGCTTGCCCGTGACGTACACGTGGTTATTCAGCGGGTTGTGTGCAATGCCGTTCATGACAGCGTCCATCTTGCGCCAGTCTTCCGGAATGGTCCGTGCGTGGTTCTCTAGCAGCGGCAGCTGGTCCAGCAAAAGTGCTTGCAGCACATGGCCCGTCGCCGGGTCAATGCGCAGTATCTGGTTGGTGTACCACACGTTCGCAAAGATCTCGCCGTGAATGTACTCGAGCTCGTTTAAGAGACGCACTTGGACGCCGTGCTGCGTCACGACGACACGGCGCACCTCGTCCATGCTGTTTGGGTCCAAGAAGAGGAGCGTCGCCGACCCGTCGCTCACGATGAGGTGCGCACCGTCCGTTGTCATGCCCCAGCCTTCGCCGGTCGTCGTCGCAAAGGCAAACTCGCGCTGAAGCGCAAAGGTGCTTCGGTCGAGCGCGTACCCGACTTTGGCCTGGTACGAGAGCGCGTAGATCGTGCCGTTGAGGACGGCGATGCCCTCGCCAAAGATGCCGTCGGGAAACTTGAACTCGTTGCCCGTGCCCACGCCCGTGACCGCATCAATCTCGCGGATAAACGACTGCCCGTTGAGGCCCGTGGACTCGAGAAGGTGGCCGCCGTCAAAGAGGAGGCCTTCTGTGAACGACGACACGTTGTGCGGGTGGATCGTCACAATGTCGTACGGGCGGTGGCTCAAGACCGACGCCGCGTCGGCCTGGATCGCGCCAAAGCCGGCGAAGGCTTCTTGGGCCAGCACCTGCAGGCACACGAGCGCGAGGCAGCGCCACGCGACCGAGAGCATGTTGCTATCTGGATGCCACGTTGCCTCTGCCAAGGGGCGGGATGTGCCGCAAATAACCAGCCTAAATTCGGCGTACGCCGCGATTTGCCACCATTGATAAAAAGCCGTTGGTTTGTCGACAGTCGCTCCAGCTCGACCTTGCTGAGCCGCGGTGGACTGCAGTCTTGAGGGCCCTATTGACCGAACGCATAAAACGCTATGGTATGCCTCATCGAACAGCGTACGGCAAGTCGCCCAAGAGCAACCAAATGCGAGTTGCAGAGATGAGGCACATTCTCTGGTAGACCGATGACGTTGTCGACGCGACCTTGCACATTCGACCGCCAAGACGACAAGACGTCCACAACCAAGTACCCATAGGGCCAATCCGAAGCCTCGAGCGCTTTCATGGACGTCGTCGTCCAGACGTGATTGCACGTGCACGAGTACATGTTTGATCCAGCCTGGCAAAGCATTTCCGAGGTTGAAGTGCTTGTTCCTACCTGGTCATGTACCGTCCGACGCGCCCCAAAGTAGATCTCCAAAATGACATTGACTAGCATCACGTCTTTGTCTATAGCCTCCTCCAAGATAGACTGTACTTGCTGCTCAAATCGCGAGTTCGAGGCGCTTGAGCTTAGGATGGCCTTTTGCTTTTCCGCCGAGACAGGCCAACTGCATACGCATTAGCATCTGGCGAGGTCATGTTTGCGTGAGCTGTAAGTGCGAAGCTCGAGCTCGTTTAAGTGCGCCCGTGTCCACTCAAGTCCGGATTTGCACATCCGGCGCGACCGGCGAGAACCCAAGATCAGCCGCAGCACGCACCCACGTGAGAGGTACGACAATGCAGCCGCCAGCCTCGCGCTCATGCAATCGACGCGCAGGTAGTGATTCTCGCCGATGGCTACGACGGCAAACGACCTCCGCGAACGCACGACGGTGCTGCGAAGGCGACTGCCAGCGACGTGGCCGAGCGTCGAGGAGGACGGCGGCTCGTCGTCCAGCGACGACGACAACAATGACGAAGACGGCGACATCAAGGAGAGCAGCTACGACGCATATGTTCCTGGCACGACGCCGCTTGGTGAAGCGCTCTTGACGTTTGCGACCTGCAACCTCCCGACGCCCGAGCCGCCGCTCGTGCCTGCGTCGCCGGTGACGCAGCTGCATCACGCGTGGCAGCGCTTGCCGTGGTACGTGCACACGTGTCTTGTGACGCTGGGGCTGCTCGCGTGGTGGTTTTCGTTTCTCGCCGTCTTTAGCGTCCTCTCGTCGCGGTCCATGGCGCAGCAAGTCGTGACGGCCGGCATGCTCCTTCTCGGCGCCGGCGCGCTCTACCTCGTGCTCATCTTCGTGCTCGTCCAGCTGCCGTGGACGTCTGCGTTTGGTGCGTCGATCTGGGCGCGCCTCCACTTGACGCGGCCGCCCGCCGACAGTCGCGTGCTCGTCGAGCCGTGCATCTGGGTCGCACTCGTCATGAGCTCGTACGCGCTCTTCCATAGCTTTGCGCTCTCGAGCCTTATCGGCGGCGTCACGGGCATTGCGCTCGTCCTTCTTGGTGACGTCATCCAAGTCTACTTGCACATCATCGGAAGTGCAAAGTCGACGCCCAAAGACGAGCAGCCGCGCAGCCTCAAAATCGTCGTCACGACGGTCGCGATCGCGTCGATCGTCCACCAATGCCATGCGCTCTTCTGGAGTGTCCTCAACGACGGCGCGCTCGGCGTGTGGCCGTACCTCCTCAGCATCCTCGTTGGGGTCTCGCTCATCGTCGCCAGCGAACTCTTGCTCTTGTACGGCCCGACGCGCTACGCCGGCGTCATCTTGCAGTCGCGTGTGCTGCACGCGCGCGACAATTGGCGCTTGCACCCGTTCCGGTCCTTGCTCGAGCTCAGCTTTGTGCTCTTGGTCTCGATGCTCGGGTACGACTACTTTGGCGAGCTCCTCATCTCGCTGCAAGTTGGCACGCTCGCCTGTACGGTCTTTATCTTGACGGGCGAGTTCTACCTCTACCCGACACGGACCACGATGCGGCACGGCCTCGCCGTCGACGACCACCACTGGATGAAGCTGCTGCCGTTGCTCTGCGTCCTCACCTTTATGCTCTACCACGTTGGCTTTATCCTCGCGCGGCACGTGCGGCTGCTCCTGCCGCTCCTCAACATCCTCGCGCTCGGCGCCACCGTGCGGCTCTGCTTGCCGCGCAAGTTGTGGCTGCGGCGCATGCTGTGGCGGCGCCTCGGCACGTCGTTCATGCGCAGCCACCCGTGGCAAGCGACGTGGGAGATGGTCGCGCACGTTGCGTTTGGCGTCTTCTTGCCGACCGAGACCCCGTTCGTGGTCCTTGTCGGCGCGAATGTGTTTTTTGACATTTGGATGGTCGCGTCCGAGCGCGTTGGCACCAAGCTCTGGGACGCTGTGTCGCTCCTGCAGTACGCACCGGCATGGCGGCTGACACTGTCGGGCCGCGAAGTGACGTCGATGCCCCAGTCGCATGCGCCGCTGTGGGACCTCGACCCGCCACCGGTCGCGACCAACGTCGTTGTCGATCGCCACGACCTCTCGATCCCGTTGTGCACGTTGATCAACTTGCTGGTGCTCTTTGGGTCGCTTGCGTCGCTCACGGTCCTTGTCACGACGCGGCTTGCGAGCGCGACCACGCTGCACCTTGTGTTTGTGTACACAATGTGCCTGGCGACGTGTGCCGGCTTGCTCTTGGGCAGCGTCGCCGACGGGCAGTACTACGCGTGGCTTCGCCGTCGCTTGTACGCGTTTCTGCGCGATCAAGTCGAGCGCTTCCCGCTGCAAACGTTTGTCGAAGTCGCGACCTGGTGGGGTGTCTGCATTGGCTCGTACGCGCTCTCGGGCTGGCCCGTCTTTGCGATCGGGCTCGCATCGCTCTCAACGCTGGTCGTGCTGCTCGGCGGCAAGTATGTGTCGCGGCGGCTCGTGGCACAGCGCGACGATGCGTTCTCCGCCACGTGCGCGGTCGTCTTCTTCATCTGCTTGATGACGTACGCGACCGGGCTCTGTCTCTACTACATTTACTGCCACTTTCGACGCATCGAAGTGGCGTTCTGCCTCGCGACCTTGTCCGGCGTCGTCTTTGTCGCGTCGAGTGAGCTCTGCCTGCTCTGGGAGCCGTCCCGCGTCGCGGGCATGATTCTCCAAACCCGTGTGACGCACGCGCGCACCAACTGGCGCCTCGAGCCGGTCCGGTCGTTCCTCGAGCTCTTTGTATGGGTCGGCGTCACGTACGGATCGTTTGAAGTGTACCAAGACGTGGCCCTGGCGCTCCAGCTCGGCACGTTCTCGGGCATCGTCGTGACGCTCTCAGGCGAGCTGTTTCGATCGCAAACGCATGTGCTCTTTCCGGATGGCGACGTTGCGGCGCAGAGCAGCAACCGCCCCAAAGTGCTGCCGCTGCTCTTGCTCTTTGCGTACGTGGGCGCCGGCACGTTTCAGTGGATCTTTGAGCACCTCCGGCGCCTCGAAGTCATGGTCCTACTCGCCACGATCGCTGGCATCGTCTTCCTCTGTGTCGCGGACGCCCTCGTGCTGTGGACCCCCACGCGCTGGGCCGGCCTCATCCTCCAAGATCGGTTTCTTCAAGCAAGCGCCAACTGGCACGTACGTCGTCGTGTTCGCTTGCTTCTTCGAGGACTATGCGCAATGACATAGATGCACCCGGTGCGCTCGTTTGTCGAGCTCGGCTGCTTCCTCGGCGTTATTTACGGCAGCCACGCGATCTACGGGGACCTCTTGGTCGCGGTTCAGTGCGGGACGCTCTCGGGCATGTGCGTCGCGCTCATTGGTGACCAGCTCAAGTCGCAGCGCGGCCCAACGCCGTCCCGTACGCATACTCGTTCATCATCGGCCTCTCATCTCGGCGTAGATGACAAGCAGCACCGCATTCTGCCGCTGCCCATCATGAGCGTCCTCGGGCTCGTTGGCGTCGTGGCGTTCAACACGATCTACACGCACCTCCGCAGCATCGAAGTGGCTTTTGTGCTTGCGACCTCGAGCAGTATCGCGTTCGTCGTCCTCGGCGACATGTTTGTCATTTGGCGCCCGACGCGCTACGTCGGCCTCATCCTCCAAGAGCGCATCTTGAACGCGGCGCACAACTACAAGAGTCGGCCGCTCCGGTCGTACGGCGAGTTTGGCACGGCCACCGCGGTCCTCTTCGTCGCATACCGCTACACGCTCGACGTGCTGGTGGCGATGCAGGTCGGCACCTTTACTGGCATTGTCGTCTGCGTCGCGAACGAGTCGATCACAACGTACGTGTCGGCCTACAAGCAGCGCATGGTGTCGCTCGCCGCGGGCCACTCCGAGTACGGTGCATCATCTTCTAGTATATACCGGCATATCGTTTGTATAGCGGCCAGGAAGACGCCCATTTGCTGGCCATGCCGTACGAAGTTCTCTTTGAAATTGCGCGGTTTTTGACACCGGAAGAGTTGCTGGTCGCGCGCGCGACGTGCCACAAAGTCAACGACCTTTTGCGCGCCGAGTCGGCGCGCTTCTGGCTCCACGCGCACTTGCGCCGGCAATGGAAGCGCTACGGCTTTGGGCCCCACCGCCGCCCGGTCCGCCGCAGCCTTATTTACGAAGCGTGGCAAGCGCTGGTGCCGAATCTCTGGGCGCCTCGGTACATACGCGGTCGCTCGACGCCTAGTCGCTAAGTCGATGTGTAGCAGCGAGCCCTCGACGCTGTTGACGGCCAAAATTGCGTGCAATCGCGCTCTCAAGTGGGTCTATCTGAACGCAGACTGGATTCGCAGCCACAACATGCCACCGCTATCGACGCCGCCGCCCACGACGCTCGCGTACGACCTTCACGACGGAGGCGGTCGCTTACGCTGCGTAGGCTGCGCGCCACGGACCCGGGCTTCCAAGTGTTTCGGCATTTACCCGACAAGGTACTTGGTGCATTTTCGCAGCCGCCGCGTCATTGCGGAATGTAGGATGTGCTTGGCATTACGCTGCAGAGCAATGGCACTGATGATGGGATCGACGTGATCCTCGTGCCCAGTCGGCTCTATGCCAAGCTGCAAGCCGACCCGTTTAGCTTTGTCGTCTCCGAAACGCTGTACGAAGTCGAAGCGTGCTCGACAGGCCACCTCGTCAACGCCGCGTTCGTGGCCATGACGGTGCTCTGCCTTGGCCACGCCATCGCCCGCGTAGTAGGAACCAACCCGAGCCCTTGAGATAGAGTGAGCTAGAGTCGAAGCCACAAAATTGTACATTGATGAAACGCTGTCGTGACGTCGGCGTTGCTGGGCGGAAGAGACACGACGTTGAGCCATCAGGTTGACCTTGTCCCCGCCGGGATCCCAAAGCGCTCACCGAGGTCCTGACAACAACAACGGCGCATGCACAGAGAAGAGGCTGACATGCATTACGAGGAGACCTTAGAAGTGGCTGGAGATGAAGCGCTTGGAGCTCATGCGGAAGGCAAAGGCGGCCGCGCCAATGATGCCCGAGTCGTACCCGACCGACGCCTTCTCGATCACGACTGGGTTGGGCAGCCGCGTCCACGTGTACTTGGTGTACGCCTCCCGGATGCGCTGCATGAACGGCTCACCGGCCTCGGCGAGGCCGCCCGAGAAGACAATCATCTCCGGGTCCAGCGTCCGGCAAAAGTTGACGCACGCGAGACCGAGGTAGTCGGCGACCTCGGCGACGAGCTCGTTGCAGACGTCGTCGCCGTCGTCGGCCAAGTCAAAGACCATCTTGGCCGTGATCGAGTCGGTGGGCACACTGGAGAGGCGCGTTGCGACTTCGGACGACGACGCGCGCAGCTTGGCTTGGCCAATGAGCGCCGACGCCGAGCTGTACTGCTCGAGGCACCCGCGCTGCGTGCACCCGCAGAGACGGCCATTTGGCACCATAATCTAGTCGTTCTCATAAGATACAACCGAGCGGGAGGGCCGTACGATGTGGCCGCCTTCAATGCAGCCCGTGCCACCGGCCACGATCTCGTCGTTGTTGACGATCCCAAAGCCGACGCCGGTCCCGAGGGCTATACATCCCACGCACATAAGCACCACGTTTCCATCCGATTCAAGCAGCACATACTTAGCATGACAAAGTTCTTGGCGCTGGCGGCGGCACCGACCCAGTGCTCGGCCGCGACGGCGGCGTCGGCGTCGTTGACGAGGATCGTCGGTACGCCAAGGATCGTCTTGAGCGACTCTTGCAGCGTCACGTCCTTCCAGTTGGGAAAGTTGGCGGCCGCATGCACGATGCCCGACGAGATTTGGCCCGGGCAACCAACGCCGACGCTCGTGACATGCGTCCAGTTGGAGCCATGGTCGGCGACGCACTCTTTGGCGAGCGCCGCGCAGAGCGCAATGACGGCGTCGGGGGCGCGGTCCGAGATCTCACGCTGGGCGCGGAAGAGCATCTTGCCCTCGAGCGAGACGAGGCCGACCTTGACGCTCGTGCCACCCAAGTCGATACCGACAAACATCGTCTTTGTTGCAGAGGAATTGAACACTGCGTCGGCCATCCTCCGCTTTGCTGTTTGCTCCGTCCTTTCTGCTGCTCGGGCGACGGGCGCTGTGATTGGCTGAAATCTCAAATGGCGCTTTGGACTGCACCATCGTCCCACTCTTGGCGGCGCGCGCGCTACCTTCAAGCGTCATCGACCGCCTCTTGAGAGGCCATGGGATCGCTCCAGCTGGCCCGCACATATTTTGACGGCTTGGGTTACCACGTCTTTGTGGTTGAAGTACGAGCCACCCACTCGATGCGGTACACTGCTTGTGCAGTGGGTTGGATCGCGCGTGTCCCTCGCTCACAACAGCTCGTACTAGTATAGTAGGCAGTGTAATAGGTCGAAGTATAGCAGCCGAACCGTCCAATTCGCATAGCCACGGCGTGCTGTGTAGTGGGTCGCTTGGGATTCTGGTCGTCGCGGAACAAGGGTCGACGTCATCGGCGCACGTGTGGGGACGTCGTTTATTGATGTGCAAAGATCGCGGGTACTCTTGATGTTTTCGACGAGGTCCTGATCCGAGCATCTTGGCCGCGCGAGGACGATCGATCTCGACAGCAACTCGATCCGACGAGGCTCGTAGCGAGGCATATACTATACGAATGCATGGAGAGGTCGGCTGCCGACCAAGCGAGCAAGGCGCGGGTAGTTCTTGCCGACATCGCTCAGCGGCTTTGTCGCTCGGCCGCTGTCATCCACCATCATAGCTGGATGAATCGAGAGCGTTGATCGCTCCAGCAATCTCGGTTTTGATTTTACTGCACCTGGCAGTGATGCACGCAACGCAATGACACAAAGTGAGGGCTCAAGTTTCATCTTGGGGTGCTCTTCGGCTCGCACGACGGGCCAATGTGCAACGGCAGTGTGCTGCTCGTACTCGATTTAGTACAAAATCGTTGGATGACATGGGAGTCTTCTAGGTAGCTGAGGATATTTCGCTCTAGTTCATCGTTATCATACTCGGGCCATGGACATATCAATGCACTACCGTAGTGCACGAATGGTCTTTACACTGGCAGACATTGTGCAAGCAACTCCAACCGCAAGCAACCGGTTCAAAATTAAATAACGGATATAAAAGCTTTTTAAAGTTGTCGTCCGGATAAGATGGCTGGCCTCACGCCATAGCTTCTTCTTTCCCGATGGAGGCCAGCAAGAAGCGCAAGCTGGGGTCGGGCGAGGCCGCGGACGCCCCGGCCCAAGACGATACGAAGGTGCTTATGCGCCTCCTCGAGCCCTTCTCTCGCGACCAGCTTGTCGCCATCTTGGTCAGCGCGTACGTGCGATCGCTTGATGAGACCCCAAAAACTCATGGCATCCTCTAGGGCCATGCAGCACAACTCGATCTTGACCGAGATCAAGACCATGGCCAGCACTGACGTCGTGCACCGCAAGATCTTTGTGCGCGGGCTCCCGTGGGACATTACGAGCGACCGGCTACGCCTGCATTTCGTCCAGTTTGGGCCCATCGAGGATGCGATCGTGATCATGGACAAGGCCACGGGCAAGAGCAAGGGCTTTGGCTTCGTAACGTTTGCCGATATGGAGGCTGCCGACCACGCACTCCAGGCACAGCCCCACGACATTGATGGGCGCAAGTGCCCGTGCAATTTGGCGGCGACCCACGAGTCGTTGTCGTCGTCGCGGCAGCGAGCCGAAGCGTCGTACCAAAAGGCACCGCCGCCCGCCGCCTACACGCCACCGCCAGCGACGACGTATCCGCCGCCCGTGCCGACGCATGCGCCAGCGTTGGCAAGTGGCGATGCCGGGCCTCCGGGCGATGAGACGGACCGCAAGCTCTTTGTGCGCGGACTGCATTGGGACACGCAGGTCGAGACGGTCACGACCGAGTTTGCCAAGTACGGCGACATCGAAGACATCTCGGTCATGAAGGACCGCCAAACCGGCAAGTCCAAGGGCTACGGCTTTATCGTCTACCGGCACCAAAACGCGGCCAAGCGCGCGTTGGCGCAGCCCATGAAGCTCATCGAGGTAGGCCAGCGAGACTCTTCGCGACGCTCACACGTGCTATTAGGGGCGCAACACACACTGCAACTTGGCGTCGCAGCCAACACGCGGCAACAACAACCACAGCGCTCCTGGCGCGGGCCACCACCACGCCCCGAGCCATGCGCACCACCCGCCGGGCCCGTACCACGCACCACCCATGCAGCCGGCCTACCCGCCACAGATGTACATGGTACCGCCGTCCTATGGCATGCCACCACCACCGTACGCCGACCCGGCCGCGTACGCAGCGTACCCGCAGCCACCACCCATGCCTGGCTACGGCTACCCGATGCAGCACCCGCCGCCGCCGAGACAATAGGACACCTCCTTGTAGACTACGCACACCAATACACAACCGCATGACCTTTTACAGTCTCCGCGCGGTTTCACGCAGAAATGGCCTTGACGCGCTGGAACTCGTGCGCCTTGAGTTCGCACGTGGTGTTGTCGCAGAGAGGCAAGAGCGCTGCCTTGTCCATCTAATGAAGAGTAGGGATAGGTAATGTCGGAGAGAGAGTACAGACCTTTTCAAAGAAGAGGAGTCCCGCGTAGCGCTCAATCATGTCGAGCGGCATGAGGAACGAGCGCAGCGGCGTCTTATCCGCAATGGCTTCGTTGGGCAACACAAAGCCCGCGGTCAAGTACTTGGCCTTGTCGCTCGTGGACGACTTGGTCGCAACCAAGACCACCTAGCAACGCACCAAGAGGCCTCATTACACTGAGGCATGGAACATGAGTACCTTGAAAAAGTGCGTTGGCACGGCGACGCCGTTCAAAGGCGTGCCCAGAATCGGGTACGAGACGCGGTACCCGTCACCTTTTTTGTCCTTCTACAGTTCACGGTTCGCAATGTGAGTGCGAGAGGGATGAGAGAGTCGACCGTCGGCAAGAAGAGGGGACCGCTGATGACGTAAACGCCATCGTACTGGTTGGCCAAGTGCCGCACAAAGCCTTCCACGCGCGACCAGTACCCGCGGTTGAACTTGCCGACCTACGCGGACGTTCAAATGAGACGAGATGCCACGAGTTGACGACCTGCGGCGAAATGTTGGTCATGAGAAAGCTCTCGTTCACTGCGACTTGGGATGCCGACATATCACCTACACATCGATGAGCGAGATGGAATGCAAGCAAGCAAGTGTACGTGCTGGCGCCAAGTGCCCACGGTCGTAGCCGCTGTTCTGGTACTCGGAGGGCGTCACTCGGAACGGCGGTGGCGTCGACGGGTCGCCCTTGAACGACGCCTTGACGCGGTTCACGTCCGGGCTCTTCTCAAGCGATGCCTTTGTTATGTACTCGGCGACCCACGACGGGTTGCGGAGCCTATGGTTTCATCAGCCACGTCATTCTCGAAGCGCTGATGGTAGACCGGCGATCGTAGCTCAAGACGTAGCCTTCGCGGACCTTGACGTTTTGGAGTGATGGCGCGCCAAAGCGCACGGCTTCATGCACGGGCGCCACCGAGTCGATACTGTCGGCTGTCTGGTCGGGACGGGCATCGTCGTCCAGAAGGAGAAACTCGACGGCGGCCAGTGTCCCGGCGGCGCCAAGGGCAATGCCACCAAGGCCAACACTCAAGAGCCTACGATGCATCGATTGAAGGAGCAAGTGAGAGCACTACGGACCGCTGCAGCGGCAGCGTCGTTGCGCGTCGTCGCGCCATTGCTTGCAAATCAACAAATACCAGAACCACAAATCGACATGTGATTGGCCATATATCCACAAAATTTCAACCAATCCGTTGCGATTCACTGGTTGGGCACCACGGCGCTCAGTGCTTGGACGGCCAAATTCCTTTCGAAAACGAAATCGCCCATACTTTGCATGTCGATAGTACACATGTTTGAGAACACGAAACACCAAGTCACACGGTCGTGCGGTGCCTACAGCGGGAGAAAGGTCGGGCGAAAGTAGATGCCGAATTGTACTGAATTCGGCATCATGTGGGATTTAAATGTGGCATATGCCAGGCGTAAATGTCCGATGTGGTTGCACACACAAGCGGCACAGCTCAACGACTATAGTTGCCTCGGTACTATATATATATATGAACGTGTTCCGCGTTATCTTCATTATGACACAAAGACTTCGCATACGTAGCGCTACGCCTGAATGCGTGGGAGTTGGCTCCAGCACTTGGTCGTTGGTACTAGAGAAGCTAACTTTATACCGCCCCTGTTCAATGAAACCCAAGCCGAAGCCGAGGTTATAGACGGTCCATTTTGCCTCACGCATCTTGCCATTCATGCCACTCGTAGCAACGACACGAGCTGTTTTCAGCCATCCAGCGGCAACAACGCTTGATTTCGCAGCTCGTCATGCCCACGCCGCTGCACAGTGTCCATGCTGCTCCTCATTTATGTACAGAAACGAGGAGGCAGCAAGGAGCACTCTGTCGTTCACCGCTGCCAAATCGTGGCCGTATCGTCGCCCCCCACCTCGGACAGACAACTCGTGAATCATCAACTAATGAATCACCTGATGCTTTTGATAGTAGTATTGCCTCGCTGCTCCGCTGAGAGCGCCCTCTCGGGCCATTGCGGATATTACGTCCTTCCTCTTTGGACGCATTGTTCAATAGGCTGTAGTATGACGTGTCGCTCGAAGACGCAGGGCTCTGCGCGCTGCCTTAATCCGATAACGTTATATATATTGGCGTAGCTTGCGCTCTCAAAGCATGGCCTGTGGCCGTGGCTGCGCGATGCAGGACGAAACGACTCAAGATATCAAGGATTGCGTGTCAGCAGCCACATTATTATCCGGATATCCGGTGGGAATCGGACAAGCCATGGCGCTCGTACGTCGGCGCGGACCCGCGGGACGATGCTAACGACGGGGTAGAGCCCCGAGGAAGACCGGTACTTTGGATCGAAGCTTCTCTTCCATGAAGTCCAGACCTTGCTCTTGATGTACGCGTTCATTACGCTCGCTACCAAATCCTCAAGCGCATGTGCAGGACGCCCGAGGTCGACGCGACGCCCGACGACAAGGACGCACTCGCGGTATGCGTATCGTGGCCCCATCCTCTGATTCAACCAAGCACGACAGGTAGCGCGCAAGCTCTTCGCTGTCGGCGAAGCGCAGCAGTACGTGGCGTTGCAGCCGTCAACGACCCAAACGTCCGAGGTCCGAGGTGCCACGTCCGCATCGACGCCAAGCTCATGGCTTGTGCCCCGTAGCCACCGCTGCTGGGCTTAACGCCCCATGCGATTCGAGCAGCGTGGGGACTCCGAGACCCCGACCACGTCGACAGCTTGCGCGAGCGCATTCGGGTAACCTCGCCGCCCTTTCCATCTCATCGCTTCATTTCTGCGACTCTCTAGACCTCGCTCCTACCCGACGTCGAGCGTCGCATCAAGGACAAGTGCCGGCTGCTCTGCGATGTGACGTGCCCTTTGCAAGGCGACGCGCCGTCGCTGCCGTTTGCGCTCGTCGAGCAGCTCCCCGAGACGCTCTCGGTACAAGACTCCACGGTCGACAACACTAGTACCAATCTGTCTCTAGGCACTCCAAGCCGCCTCAACTGCTCTCGAGAAAGAACTGATTGGGCTCGAAGAAGCCCACGATGTTCGCGTCCAGGAGATGGGGGCGCTCGTCGAGGCCATGGGCGCGGTGCTCCTGCGCACGATCCGTGTCCGTGACCAGTCGCCGTTCGTGACCAAGAAGATCGCCTGCCTCGAGGTACGACCGTCGACGGCGCCAGCGCTCTCACCATCGTCTGGCGCAGGCGTACATTAGCGCCATGCACGAAAAGACTGCGCTGCTTACAAAGCAAATGCTCAATGAAACGTACACGGAGCGGAAGCTCCACGCCCTCCGCGCCATTCGGTACCCTTCTCCTTGGCCAGGATGGCAACCTCCCTTCTCGGTAGAGAGAAGCTCGAGGGTCGATACGCCGCCGCGACGCAAGCGCAGAACGAGGTGGACCTGCCCTTGATCGGGCATAGCTCACAACCGTAATATTGTAGGTTCAAGCACGGCTGCAGCAGTACGAACTGCTGGGGCCTGCGTTTGCAGCGACCGCCGACCAGTTCGCGGTCGTTCAGCGCAAGATTGCCGAGAAGGAGAAATGGATCGCTTCTCTCGATGCTTAATGCAACGTACAAGAGCGTTGAGGAGGTCGACTCAAGCATGACGGAGCGGCGACGCTTGCATCGCATGGACGTCGTACGTGGCGCGCGCGTTCTCTTCACGAGCGCGGAGCTCGTTGTAGACTAACTGCGCTTGCTGGAGCTGTCCCAAGAGAAGTCTCTTCTTCTTCTCCATATCGAGGAGGATCGACTTGGTCTCTTGGATCTCGCTCTTGGCCTCGAGCACCTTGGTCGCCCACTCGGCGCGCTGCGGCTGCAAAACCGCGTCCATGTAGCGCTGCTCCTCTTCGATTTGCGAGGCCATGCTCGTAGCGGTCTCGGCGGACTCGATGAGGTCGGCTTGCATCTTGGCCGTGAACGCAGCCCACGTGGTCACCTCGGCAGTACGCGCTGCATCGACGGCGTCGAGTCGGGTCTGCCACGCTTGGCGCTCGGTGGATGCTGCTGCAAGTAAACTTGCGAGACGCTCCTTGTGCTCTTCGAGGGAGCGTGCTTCGTCCTCGAGCCGCCACAGCATCGCCGTCTCGTTGCAGCTCGTCGCTTGAAGGTCCATCTCGAGGAGCCGGAGGCGACGACCCTTCTCCCGCTGGGTCTTCTCCACGCCCGTGGTCATTTCTCCTCTAGGATCATGTGCTTCTTCGCGCCTGCGCTCCTTAGGTCTCCAGCACCGCGTCCATGGTCGCGTACCCGTCCTGGCCTCGGTCCATCCCGATCTTGGATTTCGAAATGACCGACTAAAGTGGCTCTGTAGTCGATCCAAGTCGAACGTTTACGACTAAACAGCCGTTCCGACCAATGATAACGCCGTTGACGTCAAGGGCAATGCTGGATCCCCGCTGCATATTGACAAGGTTGACGCTGCATTCTGGGCCGACAGAAGGTACAGCGCCACGTCCGCAAGCCGTCGAGCAGACCATTCCATCTCTATAAGCTGGCGGAGAGGGTCGAAGCGGCGTTCGTCGAAGTCGAATTCAAGTTGCGTACAGTGCACTGCTTGAAGGTGTTGAAAGCTTGAAGGAGCTGCTGACCACACTGCGACGCTGTTCCCATCACCTCTAGCCCGCCGTGTGCTGGCACCGCTGTCGCTCAGATGGATATTCCCTGCATATTATGCTGCATCGAAGCTGCTGCATAGTACATGCTGTCGAGACAGGAACACTCGCCATGTTCATCCGACGATACATCATGTAGCAGTGCATATTCCGAGGGATGAGACTGTGGCCTTCTGGCAAAGCCCATGTGCAGTTTGCGATCATGGCTGTGAGCTTGGAGAATAATTCGCTCCTTCATGATGGAGCTTTTGTCAGCTGAGGACACGACAGTTCGGACTGGCCGTGGACCACGTACCGTGCTTGACGTTGGAGGATGCTGATTTGATATTACTTGGGCACAGTGCCTGGAATGCTCCAAGAGCAATCTTCCGCTTCGAGCCAGCTGACGCGATCGCGACAGGCGCTGCCCATGTGGTCAGCAGGGAGTGAGCTTCAACCAATCCAGCTTCAGAGACAGCCGCATCTTGGCACCATTGGCCCGAAGCACGCGCCAATGCTCTGAACGCGCGCCTCTTGCTCCCCCGAGGATGCTCGCGCGATCCATTCCCATGTTCACTTTCGAATTTCCTCGCTGTGTAACATGCTTCCCAGCATCGCACTCCTGTTCTCTGCGGCTGCTGGCCTCGTGGCGGCCCAGGACGCGCCCGACCCGACGTACGGCGGTGCGCTCTACGCCTTTACGGCCTACGCGTCGCCGCTCGTGCTGCCCGAGGTGCTCGACATGACGGCCGGCGGCTCGCTCAAGATGAACATTGGCCAAGTCGATAGCCATGCGTGGGGCAACGGGATCCCGACGACTGCTGTCTACGGCTACGGCGTCGTCGGTCGTAATATGTCGCACCCGGGCCCGACGATCCGCGTCAAGAAGGGCGTGCCCATCAACGTCGAGTGGTTCAACACGCTCGGCAGCTCGACGCACCTTCTCGGGCGGTACATTGAGCCGACGCTGCTCCGGTCGACGTCCGAGTGCTTTCCCAACTGCGGCATTCCGGTCATCACGCACGTCCACGGTCTCGAGTCGCCGGCGCAGTACGACGGTCTCCCGCACTACTCGATCTACAAGAACCAGTCGTTCAACGCCGTGTACAACAACAAGCAAGGCGCGTCGACCAAGATGTACCACGACCACGCGATCGGCCTCTCGCGCCTCAACGTGTGGGCGGGTCTCTTTGGCCTCTACATCATCGAGGACCCTGCGCTCGATGCGTCGTACAACCTCGCCAACATGACCGACATCCCGCTCATGATTGCCGACAAGATCATCGACCCGAGTGGCAAGCTCCTCTACACGAGCGTCGTCACGTGTCCGACCACGGGCACGCTCTGGATGTCCGAGTCGTTTGGCGCTGTCAACACGGTCAACGGCGTCGTCATGCCGTACCTCGAGGTCGGCCAGGAGATGGTGCGCTTCCGCATCGCCAACATGGCCAACTCGCGCCACTACGATGTGCAGCTGCCGTTTTCCGACAAGTGCAAGCTTATCGCGGTCGACTCGGGCTATGTGCAGACGCCGATGCCGGTGAACGCGTCGACGACGCTCTTCTCGCTCGAGCGCATCGAGGTCGTGTGCGACTTTACAGGGGTCGCCAACGGCACGACGTTCGACATCACGGACGGCGCCAACGACATTGCCTCGTCCTACACGTACGACCCGCGCATGCTGCAGGTCCGCGTAATCGCCAAGACCTCGACGCCGGGCAAGGCCGTGACGCTCCCGACGCGCATGACCAAGCTCAAGGACCTCCAAGCCTTGTACAAGTCGACGAACGGCAAGCTGCGGACAATCACGATCGGCGAAATGACCGACATGAACAAGTGCCCGACGCAGTCGATTCTGACGCAGTACGGCCAAGTCGCCAACGTCTCGACGATCACCAACAAGCTCATGTGCACGCGCGGAAAAGTCGAAAAGTGGCAGTTCAAGAACCCGACCGACGACACGCACCCGTTCCATTGGCACCTCGTCAACGTCCAGTGCGGCCCGGACGACGACCACATCAACAAGAACGAGCTCAAGGACGTGTACGTGATCCCGAACGGCCCGAAGGAAGACCGGACGCGCATCACGCAGGTGTGCTACGTGGCGTGCACGCCCGACGAGTTCCTTCTCGAGGGCAGCAGCCGCGCGGCGGACGACTATGGTTTCTCGACCGACGAGCCGTACCTCGCGCACTGCCACATCATGGAGCACGAAGACAACAGCATGATGGCGTGGTTTCAGCTCATGAAGGAAGACGACACCAACCCGATCGACGACGGCACGGTGGTCTCGTCGACGCCCGAGCTCACGAACGCGATCATCTGGTCGGCCATCGGCATGAGTTTTGTCGGTGGCATGGCCACGACCTTGTCGGTGCTCGTCATTTCGATCCCGCGTCTCAATTTCATGGCCGGCGACAAGGCGCTCGCCATGACGTTTGCACTCTCGGCCGGTGTCATGCTCTTCATCTCGCTCGTTGATCTCTTCAACGAATCGATCACCAACTTCCGCAACGCGTGGGCGGTCGGGGGCTCGGAGGGCGTCGACCCGGAGCTCATCGAACAAGGTCTGGCGCCGCCCGGCACGGTCGCGCCCGTGTGCGACCCGACGTGCGTCGGCTACGCGTGGCTTGCGACGACGGGCTGCTTCTACGGCGGCATTGCAGTCATCTTGCTCCTCGAGATCATCGTGCACCGCGTGTTTGACTACCACACAAAGGACCTCGCGACGCTCGGCAACCATACCCACGACCACCAGGACGAGCACGAACTCATGACCAACGCTGTCGAGGTCCGCACGCCGACGGGCAAGGGCCTTGATGACCACGACGATGGTACGCCATTGAGCTCCGAGCCGGACGACGCCGAGAACGGCGAGGCGAAGAAGACCGAGATGCGCCGCGCGGGTATTCTGACGGGCATCGCGATCGCGATCCACAACTTCCCCGAGGGCATCGCGCTCTTTGTCGCGTCGCTCCAAGGGCTCAAGACGGGCCTCGTGCTCGCGATCGGTATTACGTTGCACAACTTTCCCGAAGGCGTCGCGATCGCCGCGCCCGTCTACTATGCGACCAACAGCAAGAAGCAAGCGTTCTTCTGGACGGCGCTCAGCGGCATTGCGCAGCCGTGCGGCGCGTTCATTGGGTGGGCGACGGTCTCGGGCGGTGTGACGCCGCTGCTGTCGGCGGTCTTGTACGGCTTTGTGTCGGGCATGCTCGTGTGCATCACGATGAAGGAGCTTGTGCCGGGCGCGTTCAAGTTTGGCGGCCACCGCTTCCTCGCGTCGTTTGCATTTGGCGTCGGGATCATGGCCATCAGTCTCGTGATCCTCAAATTTGTCGGCAGTAGTTAAAAGTACCCAAGTATATTGCCTTGACTTTTCAAGTGGACTGTTTGTTGTTGTGCGCGCGAGATCTTGGATCTTTCGGCGATAAAAGTTGAAGGTTGACAGCGCACGATTCTATTGGCCAAACATTCCAGGCATTTCGACCAATCCGATGGCATCGCACTTGGCGTGTGCGGCTGCAAAGCTGCTTGCAACGCAAAAGACCATCGGAAAATGAAATGGCTGCCACTCGGCCTCACGACAGAGCACACTTTGAAGAGCACAAAATGCTACGTCCTGCGCTCGTTGGACGCGCAGAGCAGAATTTACGCGTCGTCCAATATTTATTTGTGGTATACGCCATGCTTACCCACATATACCACATTTAGTCGGATGCCGCCGATCCTCATCGAACTTTTGACGGCCTCGATGGTGCCGTATGAGTATCCAAGATACGGTGGGTTCACTGACCTGTACATGAACCATTACTTGGCCTCACTCGCAGGACGTGATCTTGGGAGTAGGCATCCCCGTCCGTACCCGTTCGAAGCACTGCACCATCAACAGTAGCAAGTGTGCAATATATTTGGTCGTATTTAGCTACGCGAGCGCATGCACGTTGGTAATCTTGCGCATCTTCCAGTACAAGTCACAGAGCTGGGCTTCGATCGCAAGCAGGGCCACCAGCAGTTGCCGTGCTTCGACCGCACAGATCCGACGCGGTGCGAAGAGGTCCGCGTACGATTCGTAAGCGTGTGTCCACTTGGCTTCAAGGTGCAAGAGCGCCTCGTAGCAGCCTGCAGCGACGCACAACGCGTGCGCGGCCTTGGCGTCACCCACTGCCGGCGGCAGCTTGCTCAAGACACTGGCGCGCACCTACCAGGAAAAGGCAACTTCAAAACCTCACTGATGCGGCAACACAGTACGAAGCTCAGATCGCTTGCGTCCGAAACACCCAACGTCAGCAGCACTTGGCGCTCAACGTGGTCGGCCACAAGCACCACAACATTCTCCGAGTTGACGCGGACCCCGAGCACCGCACGCGCGCCATCAAGCACAATGGGGTCCCCGAGCTGCAGATTCGACAAACAAGTGGCGGCGGCATGTTCGCCACGCGGTACCGAAAGATGCAGTGACCACAAAAGCGGCGCCGAAGGCGGCAGCGCCATCGGGGCGTCAAGCATCGCCGCAGGGGCCCACAGACTGCGCGGAGACGGCGCCCCGGGGCGCGGTACGTAGAGCTGCTTGAGCATCGCAGCGCTAAGCTGGGATTGCCGGGGTACGCCGGGCCACGGCGTGGCTTGTGCAAGCAGATGCACGTCTACTGTGCCAAGAGGCAGCAATAGCGGGTCTTTGCTCTCGACTAAAAACACCAAACGACACGTGACGCGAAGCAGCGAGTGGGAAACCACGGGCAACTGCGCAGACCAAGACGACTGAAGGGACGGCGGACAGGGCACACTAAACTCGCTCAAGTCACCGCTGTAGGTGCCGTGCGACACCGTCACATGCAGCACCCTACAGCCCCACGGTCACACCAACAACAGCATCATAGCAGGTACTACCATTGCTCCAAGGACACAGCGCCGTGGGTCGATTCGAGCGTGACGCGAATCAATAGGTCTTCGCTTGATGCGCTGCAAAGACCAAGCGACGGCTCGTGACGCCGACGCGTCGTCACCGCGCATGTTACGACGCTGGCGATACCTGCATAGCACGCTCGAGGTGTTCTGACGACAGAAGATATGCCAACCGTGAGCTTGAACACGCTGGAGAAGACGTAACGCCGCTTCGAGGTTCGTCAAGGACCGGTCCAGGGCCTTGGAGACGATGAGAAGCGAGGCTTTGGCATCGGCGGCAGCCTGGATCGCGTTCAGCTGTGTTTTGATCGAGCGGTCCGTGCCGGCGCGACGGTACATGCCCACTTTGCCGTAGCCTACGTAGTCATTCCATTCTAGTCTCTATTTGTTTTGAAGATTGGCGGACCTTCGTGCAGGGGCGCAACGGCCATCGACGGTGGCAGCGTCAGCACCAGAAGTTGGCCGGTGCTCCCCAAGCACGTCACGGTGCTCTCGCCATGGCTGCAAAGCGCAACGACGTCCTACTCAGCGCCACGTAAGCCTTGTTCGCAGAACACGTGCGCTACGGGTGGCAGCGGCAGAGCGAGGGGCGACTGCAGCGCGTCATTTGTGACGGGGCGCGCCCACAGAGCGCCGTCCAATGTACAGTACACCAGCGCCAAGCACCCAGGCACGTACACAATACCCTGGGTCACTGGTCCCTTCGAGGATATTGTGCTCGGCTGCGTGAGTAGACTCGTGTTGCCACTGGCGTCTGCAATCGCAAGACCAGCATTCATCACCACAATGCCTTGTATCGCGGAGGACGCTTCGTGCAATGTCCCAGTGCAGAGCACCGCACGCGCAGCACTGAGCACTGCGAAGCGCACAGAGCCGTCGCAGTCGCCCTGAAGCAGAACGTACTGGGCCGTCTCGGGCGCCTTCATCCGGGCGAGAAGCCAGCGGCTGAGGCGGGCCGCGGGCCGCGCGACGAGACACGTCGACTGGTCGCCTTCGAGTTCCTCGAGCTCCACCGGCGCATGCGGGCTCGAAAAGACGGTTGTGGGAAAGATGTTGCTCGTCGCTGCAAAGGTAGATGCGTCGATGGCGCAGAGCGACTGTACACCCGGCAGACACGCGATCGGTGCGGCCGATATGCTCGCGGCCGACCGCCGGTGCTTGGCTCCGAGAGGCTCGTCGATAAGAAGGTCCTGCGCTGAGCTACAGCTATCAATGGGCTATCTATATCGCTCGTAAGGATCGCGTACTCTGGTGCGCGGGCGAGCGTGATGGTGCAAAGCGGTTGGCCGGCGGTGGGCTTGGCCACGGACCATATATGGCCTGTTGCGGTTGCTACGAGGAGCGCATCTACGAAGCCATGAGTGCAATGAGCCATGGCGATGAGATGCCCGACCTTCCAGGATCTCGACGGCCACAATGGCGGCGGGCGCCTTGAGAACGGTCTACAAGATAGCCATGGCATGACGACGACGCCTCCATGTAGAGCTGCGTGTACGTGAACGCGGCCATCGAGAATGCAGTGGAGAAGACGTGGCGTCACGCAGGCAGCGACGAGCCCGTCCTTGGCGCAGAGTCGCGCTGCTCGACGGTCGGCGACGCGGGCGAGCCGAGCGCTTCGAGCAACTTGCATGGCCGTGTGTCGCGTTGCGGATTGGTCGAGCCATCCGATATTCTGATTGGCCTATTTTGATTTTATTTTGAACCAATCCGCGACACCTGCGAGCGATCCACATACCGCGGCCCCGACACCCAAACACGGTGATGAGAGGTCGGAAAATGATTTCGCTCATACTTGCCATAGGGATAGCAGACATGCTGGGGAGTCTAAAAATCTACCTCGCGTCGCCGTTCGAGACCTACAGCGCAAGAAATGGACCCTCAACGCGTGGATTTTGAGTTTCAGATTCGGCGTTAGCTTGTGCAGCATATGTGTTGCCAGATGCGCTCTCAAAACAAGCTCTCAAAACAAACCGGTACAGACCCAGTTAACCTTGCATGCCAGAGCCCATTGAGGAGTGACCTCTCGTGTAGTATATTGCAGCTGCGCAAGTACGTACCCTACATGTATATACTGATAATACATGTACGCGCTGCCATAGACAAGACTCGTCTTTGAAGCAACCACGTGTCAATCAAACAGGCTACACGTATTATCTGGGATCGCGCCGCCAAAATGACGCTCATAAATGTATTCGAGCTCATTGCCGATGGACCAGCGGACGTTCTCCTTGTACCGATTCGCATACTGCTTGATTTTTCGAAGCAAGTGCTGGCGGCGTTCCCACGTCATGCGGCAACGACACACGGCGTACACCGAGTGGTTGGCCTCAAAGACGCGCCAAGCGACCTCGGACGTACCCTCGGGGGGCGTCCACCGAATCTCATGTGTGCGTTTGCAGTAGTAGCACGTCTCGTCGTCGCCGTCCGGCGGCAGCTCGAGCCACGGCGACGGAAGCGGCTGCACGAGGTGGCGCTTCAAGTACGCGTGGCAGCGCCGGCATAAAATGCTCTCAAACTGCTCCTCTTTGGGAAAGAGCCACTGCGTTGGGTTTGCAATTTGCTCATTCGACCACACGGACGCCGCTTTGGGATGCGAGGAACTTGACGCAGCAGCGTCCGCGCACAAATTTGCGTCCTTAAGGTGTGGAAGGAGCTGTAGCCGGCTGGACGACAGCGTGCGCGGACCAAGCTCGAGGTGGTAGGCGCCGCTCGCGATCGTAAATTTACGCACAAGCGTCGCGGTGCGCGGCGTGCATGGTGCCGCTGCCAAGTGCGACGAGCCCAAGCGCTGCAGAAGGCGGAGACTGTGCGTCGACCCATGGCCTTTCTCAGCATCGCGCGTGATCGCATGGAAGAGCTTTGGGGTTCGAAACGGCGCCGACAGCTTGGCCTGCCGCGCGGCTTCTGGAAGGGCAGACACGCTGTGACGTCGTAGCATGGGCAGCGGTGGTCGGTCACTGTCGCTGCCGCGGCGTTGCATGCACTGCAGATGACCCTACACGGATCACTCTATTTTTATAGACATCCGAAGGCTCTATATACACAGTGGTGGCATCATTCAGTGAGCTCGCTTTTACAGAGTTTTTATCTCGATGGCTCGTCGGATTTGGCTCCACGCCGACATTGTGCAATGACGCAAAGCGTGCACTGGTCACCATATTCTAGGACTCGCGGTGAATCGATTCGTAGGCGTGCGTGTTGGCGAGTGGGTGAGCTCGTTTCTGTGCTGTCGAAGCACGGCAACTGCTGGTGGCCCTGCTTGCGATCGAAGCCCAGCTCTGTGACTTGTACTGGAAGATGCGCAAGATTACCAACGTGCATGCGCTCGCGTAGCTAAACACGACCAAATACATCGCATACTTGCAACTGTTGACGGTGCAGTGCTTCCTACGGCTACGGACGGGATGCCTACCCCCACGATCACGTCCTGCGAGTGAGGCCAAGTAATGGTTCATGTACAGGTCAGTGAACCCACCGTATCTTGGATACTCATACGGCACCATCGAGGCCGTCAAAGTTAGATGAGGATCGGCGGCATCCGACTAAACGTGGTATATGTGGGTAAGCATGGCGTATACCACAAATAAATATTGGACGACGCGTAAATTCTGCTCTGCGCGTCCAACGAGCGCAGGACGTAGCATTTTGTGCTCT